GGGTATGTACGCGTATGCATGAGTAATAGTCGAAATCGGTCACGTAAGAATTTGGAGTTCAGCACGTTCACCGACACAAGAATTTTTAGTTTTTGTATAATATTACTTGCTGCTGTTTATCTTTGTGAAGCTGCATAATTAACACGTTCAACGCCGCACGATTTCATTGAATAAGGTATATAGAATGGAAAAAATATGGTATTACATCATTTGATTAAGTTGAATTATTATTATTGCACGTTCGTGTAGCTGAATATCACCGCATTAAGTATATAGCATTATTTATAATATAGAAATATTTTCAAATAACCATCGTTTAATTGAGTGGGCTACAGTAATTCGATTTGATTGGGGATCATCGGTGACTCCCATGGCATTCAACGGGTTAACGAAACTTTTATTATTCGACAACATATATGAAAACTTATCAATATTCACACTATTAAAGAATCATTTGTATTATATTTATCTGTTTAATTGTTCTTTAATGTATGTCTCTCGTTTTAATATTCAGGGTTATTATTTTGAACAGTCAAAGTTTAGAGCATCAGCGGTTTCTTCAGATACATTACTACTGCAAGTTTTTATAAATGTATTCCTATTCTATGTGGTAACTGTTTGAGGATACAGAATAGAATCAACCTTCTTTAATACCCTTACTTAAATATGTAATAGTAAAATGGAATATTATAATAATTATAGTAAATTTATTCAATAGATTATTAAATACCTAAATAGATTATCAGTTATTAAATACGGTAAGGGAATGTATTATAAATCCTTATATAGGAAGGGAGTAATTTAAACTGAACGATTCCTTCAAATAAGTCATTAATACTCGCATAATTGAAGAAGCACGTAGCGGAAGCCGTTCGGCAAAAAATCACTGCCACGATAATGCTCTTATTATCCCGGACATTAAATCAAAGGTAATTACGAGGCCCGCCACTGGCATTGTCTCCTCGCATGCGTGCATTATCAGGCATCTATTCATTACCGCAACGTAATTGTGCGTGTAAACGTGGCAATGAGTGCACACCGAGACCACGCGGCCGCCTTTACTTTCAGTCCCTCTATTATCCGGGTGCGAAATCGATCGACTGAAATTCCAATTGCGGCAAGCCGCTGCAATGGCTTTCGTTTGCTCCATAATTTCTAACCGGCGTGAACGCACGGGAACGCGTGAGTCACGGCCTACATTCGTCCCGAAGTCGTGACACCTTTTGTCATGGGTAAACGCGAGGTTACGCATATCACTTTTAATAACATTTCTACCAAAACTATCAGAAAACACCTTTTTAACATTTTTAACACTGAAATTGGCGTACCAGTCAAAACGACGGGTTTCAATCTTTTTGTTCCGCAATTATTAATATCTCAAAAACATTGAACATTCGAAATGATTTTGAGAATAAATAGATTCACTTGTATACTATAATAATTGCTTGAAGAAACCGAAGATTATATATTATTAGTATTTTTACAAGGATTACATATCAATCGTATTAAATGCTCGGTGGTTCTAGTGTTAACACGATGCCATGAAACGCTTTGGCGCTTTATGTGTGAATTATTCTTTTAGAGTAGATAAAAACCACAATTTTTGGGTTACACTATTATCTAGTTACTTCCGACCGCCGAAATAATTATTACACAAGCGGTTCTCATCAAGCTCTTTTATTCTAATATTTTATGATTGCAATGCTTGCGTAATTATGTTAGGCAACCAAATAGTATTTACGGTGTATGTATAGTTTTATTATCCTGCCAACTCCTTTAATCATTGAAACAGTCGTTGTTACTTTCAATAAACTGTTCTCGACGCGATATATTTCTTCTATAGCTCGTTTCAGCGAAACCATGTATCCTTTGATGGAAAAACTGTCGCTGTATTAACCTTTGCATTTCGAATTCGTTTTATTAGAGTCGTATAACTTACGAAATGAGATTCGAATCCTGCTGCGATGCTTGCGCGTTTTCTCATCAATATACGTTTGTCTATAAACTTCGTAACTAGAATTCCAAGGAATTCAGAATAATTCTTGCACGTATTTATTTTAAAAGGATTAGGGTTAATGGTATGTAAGAAAAATGATTTGTTTTTACTCGAAGCATAGAAATACTTGTTCGTACCGAATGTAAAACCACAGTGTTTATTTGTATTACTAAAGCTATTATGGAACTGTCGTAAAACTATTGTAAAAATGATATAAAGTATTTTGATTGTGTACTTTAAAGTGCAAGTACTTTGATATCATTTAGATTCTAGTACGTCTAGATTACTTGAACACATCTAAATATCCATAAATGTAGATTTAACGAATCAAAATTTCAAACGTAACAAATAGGATAAAACTTTTGTTCAAAACATCTTTTCATATTATTCATATTGTTCAAGGTAGATTAAATATGCTTAGAAAAACCGAACATGCAATAGGTGCAGTTAATCATAGAAATATCTGTCCATCCATAAGTATGATACATGTTTCAAAAATTACAACTAATGTTTTTCTGTAAATTATACATGACTTCTTAATTGGATCCTACTCTAATTTGAACTATACGAGTCAAGGTTTATAACACTATAAATTATTATAACTACACTTTTATATTTGTTGAATATGTAAAATATACTGCGTAAGTAGAATACTTTTTTAAGTAATTGTAGGTAGGTACTTAAATCGAAATAAAGAAATGAGAATCAGCTATAGGATATTTTCTCAAGAAGCTGGTAAAATAACGTCCCAGTTATTCAAGTCCCATGTGACGAAAATAGTAGCATTATTGGGAGAAGCTCAACGAATGCAGGTAACTACATAACCGAATGGTTTACTGTTCTACCTACCGCACCCTGAATCACAGTCGAACTTCTGTTTCATTGATCAAACTTTTCTGGCGAACTCGATTTAAATTAGCCCGCGGCCTCTTTTTTAACGAAATTGCGACAGGGCATTCGAGACAAACTGTTTGCAACTGCGGTAATTCACGATCGTCCTTGGAGAATCAGTTCCACCCTTGAACTCTCAAATCTAATTTCATTTCACCCTTTTACGGAGTTTTCCAGCGATGCCGCTGACTCGCGTCAATTTATAAACAGGACTGTGAAAAATATTTCGAAGGATTTCTCGAATAGAAAATGTGAAAAAAGTAGAAAAATGCATATACATGTGTGCGAATATATTATTCGGTGAAATACATAATTTCATCAATTCGGAGTAGTAACTATTACCTCTAATAATTATATTTACCATTCAAGAATAATTCAATCATTAATATCGAATTGTTGAAGTTGTTAATTTTTCTTTGAAATCTTGTATAATCTGAATTTTTGTGTACAAAGCGAAATTATGTAATCAATATTTCGTTGTAGAATTGTATTATCACATTATATCACGTATGTAATTATGCAATTACAAGTAACACGCATGGATTTATGAAAATTAACACGTAGACACCAATGCCCAAAACGAAAATGTATCAAAATGATTCACAGAAACGAATAAAGAAATTGCTTTAGCAATACGTAAACTAAATTACAGAGTGTCTACAGAAAAATTAAAGAAAACAAATTTTCGAGATTGGTGGATCTAGCGTTAAACGAAAAGTAAAAGTACTCGATTCCAATAATAAAATACAATAATATTAAACCACTCAACTTAAACAATAAACGACTATCGGCTACCGATTTGTCTCAAAGAAATTTATACGATAACTATTATTCTCATTCTACATTACCAGCAACTCAAAGCAATTTTAATAGAAAGAGCATACTAACACATAAATAAATGACACGCGCATGAGAAGAAAAGTTGTAGATGTATTTTATTGTTTCTATTAATTACATATATAAATCTTATAATATATTTACTGACGAAATTGTACAGTTCGTAATAACGAATTGTAAATGCCTCTGCTCCGGAGCCCTCGAATTCATACAGTGAATTTCATCTGGCTCAGTAAAACTAGATCCAATTTCGACCCAGTACGCATCGTGCTCGAATTGATATAGTACGAAAAAAGGATTAGAAAAATGAGGAGGACCTATCAACGACCAGTCCCGGCCGATCTCGGTTCATTTATCACGATGAATTATTCACCGTCAGAAAAATACGCGTGCACGAGCTGTGGACAAAGAGTCGCGAAACTTCTTGTCTCCTCCTATTCGACTGTCCCTGTTGTCCCCGTGTCATTTGGCCTGAACCCACTTCTTCTTCGTCTCCTCCTGTTCCATGCGAGGGAGATGATTTATTGCGTGCGGGCATCGAGATGGTGCGTTATAAAGGGAGACGGAATCGCAGATATCTTGTGGGGAAGATAACATCTGTGGGAGCCACGAGAGAGATTTGCGGTAGACAGTGACTCCCCAGCCTCGAACTGCCTACGCATCTTCCAGCCGCACCGACTGGTCCACCTGCATTGCAGCATTGCACTGGTTCAATGTCGGTGCAACGTTGACCGTGTATAACGAACGGAATGTTGTCCGGTCGAAAATTCGCGTCCACCGAACCGTGCGACGCCACGGAGCAGAAAACGTTACGACCCGCAATCCCGTCGGACTGTCGCTTATCAGTCAAAAATAGAGGACAGGCTTCGAATATACGCCCAGCTATTTTATTTAATAACATAGAAAGTTTAGGAGTAGTTATAAATAGAAAAGTGAAACGAAGAAGTTTGAGGAATTTCAAATGGAACGCGCGAACCGTGAATTATCATTGGAAAATAAAGGAGAACGTTCCAACATGGCATATCTTATTTCATAGTATAGAAAGTTTCGGAATAGTCGTGGAAACATAAATATTTCACGTTTCTGTTATTACACTAAGACTGTGATTATTATAATACAACTTATGTTTCCCGTTTTATTTCTAAATACCAGAATGAACGTAAGCGTGCCTTTGATAATGAATTCCAGGGATTCAGCAAACGTTTTGCTAGTTTTCTTTCCACCAGTGTTTTGTTATTGTGCGATCTATATAAATAAAAATCTAAAAAAGCATCCTTTGATTTTAACTTCGATTAACCAGGATTTGTAACGTTTCCGTTAATTTAATGTTACCATCTGAGAATTCGAGTAGAATTACTTTCATATTTTTATCCTGGAAGAAAAGTCTAGAGATATTCCGTAGGAAACCTTGAAAAAAGAAGAAGACTAGTGAAATATAGATATTGCCAAAGCAAGTCACGTCCGGATTTGTTATTGGTTTCTCAGGGAATAGCGAAATACATTCTGGCAGTGTTGCGAGGGAGCATGAACGATAATTCAGCAATTTAGGCGATTTGGGATTCGTAGGTGCACACGGAGGAGATCCCAACGCAATTTCTGCTCCGGGTCGGCTGCGACGTGCTCGAGACCAAGGTCAGTGGTGCTGCGACCGTACGTAGCGAGGTCTGCCCGTCTTTTTATTCTTCTCCTCGAGGTTGTCTTCGGAAGCAGCGCACCAAGAACAGTGAGATAATTGCGCGCATCATCGTCGCGCTATTGCCCATGACGTACAGCACGCATCGCAAAAACCAGTAGCGAGACCACCAATAAATTCCCATTATGGGCTAAATATTCCACCATTGAACGCCACCATGGGCTGATTCAGGTGGAAAAAAGTAATATCGTTAAACAATTCTGTTTTCTTTGTCTATCCATTTAATCATATTTTTAGGCAACAATTGAGCCACTCATTGGACAAATCGCGTATTTGTATTGATCAATGTTTTATATTTCGTGCAAAAAGTTAAGCGACAAAGACGCTTTAACGATAAGATCTTAAAAAGTTCAAAAAATGGAGTTAATCGATTTGGCCAGCGAGCGGATCAATTATATAATATTAACATTTTCGCGATGGGACACGTAGTTCTACGTAATTTCAAATTCTTTAGTTGCATTTGTAACGTTTAATTTTTTAAAACTTTGAACAACAAGTAGCTATAAGTATCATACTCAGATGTAACATTTCTTATATTCACATACCTATAAATAGTAGAGCCTTGCCGTACTCAGTTACAGACTTTTGGAAATTATCTGTCGTTTTCCGCTAAACGTTTTTATCCGGTTATTACTCGTCGCGAAAGTGTGTTAACGCTAGATTTATGACGCCATCGTTTAAAATAATGAATATAATTAAAAATACTTTGATAATGATTGAATAATTGTGAGTTTATGACTGTTAGCTTTTCAGTTCCGAGGAGACTGTTATAAATTGCTGTGCATTAACTGTAATGTCTGCTCTATAGATTTCTGCGTAATTAAGAAGACAGTATTTCCCTGAAAGTGGGAAGAAGTTCTAGTTTAACGGGAACGTTTATACCTCTCAGAAACAGTTAAAGTTGCGACAAATAAATTCACTGGAAACGTTGTACAGTAGATAAATCTGGACTTGAAACCTTTAATCGCTCCGGGAAGTTCTATTACAAAAAAATCTGATTGTCCTTTCCTTTTTATATTTAAGTAGCTTAAATTGAAATAATGCTTCCAACTTCTATATTTTACTTTTATATTCGAAATAAAGCAACTAAAAGTTGGAATTGAAGAATTACAGGATTCCGTGCAACAATAATTCATGACATCTACAAAATGATTCACGCCATTATCAACCACTTTCACGTTTGTAATATTGAAAGTGAATCGTTTAAAACCAACCAGATCTTTCCTCCGTGTTGCGACGTCGTTAACTGTGAAATCAGTTTCCAAGACGAATGAAATGTGCAACGCACGATAGCGCGGTGAACGTAAAAGCGAGGCCAGAAGTTCGACTTCCTGATTTGCACGCTGTTCTTTTGTTTTCACAGAAAGACAGGATAAAGTTTTTTTGTTTGCGTGTCACCTAATGTCATCTTACTTACTTAGTATATTAATTTTTACCCTTAGAATTTTCATTACAGTTGTATTATTTTTAGTAATCTTTTGTTAGAATAGCATATAATTTTATAATTTAAGTCTCGAATATTGATTAACGGAAAGATAATACTGGATTTTGGATTAAAAAAGAAAGGACGATACAGTAGACTGCCGCGCAACATGCTCTCCTATTATTTATTATCCTATAATTTATATAACCTGACGAACAAATTGCGATTAGTAATTGACAATAGTTAATTAATTTTAAATGCATATATTAAACATTGCGTGATATCAGTTTGTAATTAGGATAATTCCGAGGGAAATGGCAATGTTTTCTTTGAAACGCATTTAAATGAAATCTAAAAGAATTAGAACACCTGATTTGATTTCTGAACAAACCTTAATAACTTTCTTCTAAAATAATCAACAAGAATTAAAATGACAAAAACATTAATTGTAATAGTAATATTTCTATCAAGAGAAATAGTAATAATTCTATCAATTATTTGTACAAGATAATTGAAGTGACCATCTCCCTCGGAATTACCCTAATTGAAACGAACAGTTTATAGTTAAGGGCTGTAAATAACGAATTATGATAATAGTAATAATTAATAAACAGAAGTTTAAGATACAATCAAATAAATAAAGTGTATTACAATTCATAAAAGTACGCTCTGTAACGAAAACAATAGGAGAATATTAGATCGCAGGGCTGCATGAATTCATTACCGATTAATTTCCGGTTTGTTTCCTTAATATAAAGTGTGCATAAAGTTCAAAATCTTTGTTGCTAGCGGCGGAATCTATTCGTTGCAGTTTTCGTCTGGTTTTATCGTGGAAAATGACGGAGAAAAAAAGAGTCTTGATCAAAGGCACGCTAACGTTCTCACGTAGAATACACATCGTCAAGCGCAGACTATAGAAGAATTTGTCTCACATAAAAGAGTAACGTTGCGGAAGGAATTAATGACCGCGGTAAATCGTTGAGGTCGCAAAGATACTATAAACTTTAACCTTTATCTTGGAGGAAACGTTGCGTTCGTGGAACGACGCATAAAAGGCTCAATCGGACGAATATAATTTTTGACTCGCGTTACGTCAACGTTACAAACTGATAATAAATTGATACGCATCGCCGTAAACGTATGAAAGAAATATGCTGATCACGATTCCTTAATATAATAGGTACCATTAAAAAACTCTTTCTGGACATCATATTTCTAAATCATTTTATTTCAAACATAATGTACATACACATACCAATAGAAAAAAGTAACTTTCGAGGTATTGCTTTAAATATGTTGTAGAGACATTTTTCGAACTAGTAAACAGTGGTTATTTATATTATGCTGTGTGTTATTTAATTATACTTGATTTATATGACTCATGCAACATTCATAAATGCGTTTTGACTTCCATTTGCGATCAGTAACCAGAAAAGTGATTAGTAAAAGTAACCGTCTTTCAAGTTCATAAATTATATTCACGTAATAACATATATTCAAAACCAGTTCATCCCTTCCCCTGAAAAATAGAAAATTTGGAGTTGTGACTCTACAGCAGGGAAGTGATAAATCAAATTTGCTCAGTGTAACAATAGAACTGTCAATTGATATACAATCCTTATAAAAATTGTAACAGTAGATTTTTTTCAATTCCTTTGTTATTCATTATAGTACTTAAATGGAACTATTTTATTTCAAAATCATTTCGGATATTTAACACTTTTAACATATCAATAATTATGAAATAAGAAAACTGAAACTTACCATTTTGACGGGTGCGGTAGTTCTAATGTTAATTAAAATTAATGTTCTCCCATTATTTCAACAGCATTCCAGCCAAACTGGTATTTTACATCGAACCTAGGAAACACAGTACAAACTTCCACTGCTTTGGTCTAGCGTAATTTGTGAAAAGAGCAACGTTTATAATGGTTATGTATTTTGCGTCGCGATATTGGGATGCAAAACGTAGCTTTCGAACACCCGGTACGTTGAACAAACACCGGCGCATACGTAACCAGGTTCTGACCTACTGACACGATCCAGTGACGTCACGGGAAGGTACGGGAGTTGGGAAGGAGTGAAAAGACTATGTCTGCTGCTAGCTGACCCATCCTGAACTGGGGGGATCGTTTTCCCTAAGCTGGGGGATGTATCAAACTTTCGTTCCGTCTTCAACAAGGAAGACGACACAACCAGTCGTCCAGATTGTCATATTAACAAAAGAAAATTATACAATTATCTTTTTATTAATCACAATTTTCTGTATTCTTTTTATCCGTGTACCCTAAACCAAATAACCAAAATCAAATCCAAAAGATTGATTAATTTTTGAAACACATCAAAATTTAGATTCAGAAAATTCGTAACTTTCCAATACTGGAACACTGAAGCTTCATTTAAATTTATTTATGAAAGTAAGAAAATTATTTTAGTTACTATACGGTAGATTTATAAAATAGTCTACAAAATCACGCATGGAAAATACGTGCGGAGGAGACTTGTCATTTCCAGGCAAGGGTTAATAAATAGTATATATAGCGCACGAAATATCCACTATTATTTCTATTCTTTTACTTTCGATTTTTGATAGAATCTTTTTTTTTATAAAATAAGTGAAGATTGTATGTTGTTAAAACCATGAACTAGTACGCTTTCATAATGTCCAGTGTGCCTCAAATTGACGCGCTCCGCAAACCTAGGGTAAAATCTCGCGTAAAACAAAGGAGAATATAAACGTGATACTTAATATTTTCGAGAATCGATCGGTCGTTTCTCCGAGATCGGCGAACATCAGGCGGGCAGCCGGGGGCCGCGCAATCCTTTGTCTAAATTCTTTCCCCCCCGGCACTCCTCGTATGTCATTTTAACCGACTTTTTTTCTACCATATCTTTACAATTTTTCTACAAGATTTTCCCGCGTGTAGAACCGCGATCCTGTCGCGTGTCCGGGACTTGTTCACGACGATCGTCGTCGAGGGAAATTCACGGTCGTAGGATATGAAAAACCGTCGCCCCGTTGCCAAATGTGTCCCCTTCTGCAAGAGTGACGAGATACCTGACAGTTTGCTCGGTTAGCAGCGGTGAGCGGACTTCAAATGAAAATTATTTTGTCCTGTCGTTTGAACGGGCCTATTTAAATGAGCTTCGATTTAAAAACTGATCTTATGAGAAACCTATTGACGAAAATTGTTTTGACACAATAAACTTAACCTATTTCTTTATAAATAATTACCTCATTGCAGTTTTTTTCATCGTTGAAGCGTTAACTACGACTAGTAGGAGATACTACAGATGTATTCCGTAATACAACCGATGAATGTGATCTCCAATTTTCAGAGAGATCGACACTGACATTATAATATGGATTTCGGTACAGAGAAATTGCTATTATAGATTTCTTATCTGAAACAGAAACTTTTGTAACATAATTAATTATCAAATTTGTAAAGGTTTGTTTATGTTGTTATCCTTCACATGAAATTGTTATATTGAATATTTGTCTGTACTTCTATTTATTCAGCTGAAACTTCCTAAGATAATTTCAATCTATGTAACTTAATTGATATCTACAGTCGACGGGGAAAATATTGGGACCACTCACAATTTCCAGAATGTTTCGTGTTTTTTAGAAAATTTGAAGGGTTGAACGGAATTTAACTTGTTGCTCAATAATGAAGAGTAATAATCGTTGTGAAGATTTCCTGATTAATTTAACAAAAATCAATATTCTTCATTGCACGTGGTTTAAGACTATTCTGTTATTTTTAATATTTCACTTTCAAAGTTAATACGCACTTACAATAAATAAAATATTCCGTAACATTTCTTGCGAATTATTAACAGTAAGTCGAGCTTAGATGGAGAGAAATTCATATGACAAGGGGTAAACTGCAAATGTTATTAATTCCGAATATATTTTACACATGGATAACAACAGTTTATATACTATTATACATATAAATAAATCACAACAAAGTACTACTAAAAGAATTCACGCTACAATTAAAGGAACAGAGGAATCACATATGATTAATATGCACATGTGTTTTTAATAGCTTGAAAAAATTATGATTAAATTATGTTCGAACTTCGAAATTTCACTAAAAGCACAAAATATGTCGAACAATGTGCGTTATTCTAATTTTTTAGTTAACGACTATACATAAATTAATGTATCATATTATACGCATAATCCAATAACGAAAGTAATTCCGTGTAAATGTTTGTACTTTTTATTTGAAAGTCTGTTGTGCCTGTTGTTGTTGGATAGGAAACATATCAACGACGTGGGAAGAGGGCCGTTTCCGCGTGATTCTCCACCGCCACGAGGACCACGGCCGTGCACGTTTTCCACTGCGTTGGCAGTGGACGCGAAAAACCGCGGTGGAGATCCAGGAGAAAGATTAGGTGGAAAGTTTGGAGAGGTTCGAGACACATCGAGGTACATATCGTTTCTCAGCATTTCTTTTGCAATTAAATTCAATTGTCCGTATAGAGACAATCAGTAATAGATGGACCGTGACCTTCTCAAATGCTATTGCGGAACAGTTCGTTTCACTGTTAACCTTTTTCACTTGAAAGTTTTTTATTGGAAATATTCAGAATTTTATGATGATGACAATGTTTTTTAAAATTAATTTATCAAGAAATCACATACAAATTACGGAACGAAGCTATTTCATTTCAATGTTTCATACATTGAGCAGTGTCCAAAGATTAATGGCGACTACCACAGTTTATAATTTTGATGCATCAAATCATGTGGCGACTGAAAATCGTCTTTCGAGTGCAAAGGGTTGCAAGTTCAAAAGTATTTTCGCTAGTGATTCTCAATGCCAATGATCGATCGCTTAACGTCCCTCTAAGCAGCCAGATTGCGCGCGCAATTGCAGAAGCTTGTTTTTCATATTTATGTTTACTGTGTACTAAATAATTTTATGATAGATATAATCAGCCGGAGAACAATATTGCGTGATTATGTTTTTAAAACATCCTCTGCTTACTTTTTATCTTTTAAAATGAACTGAGAAATATCAAGAAAACGTTTGTTGTGTTACTAAAATATACATATATCATTTTATGTGGTTTCGGTTTATAAAATACTACAATTTTATTCCTATCACTTCATTTTATAAACATTTCTTTCGTTAAAAAACAAATTATAATACTGCAGGTAATATTGAAATTAAATAACATTCACTGTATTTAACGATTATTTGGAATATGTAACTTAATCTTATTAGTCCTCAGAAAAAGAACTACAAAATTGTTTGCTACATTAATTTCTGTAGTTTTTGTACTTGCCACTAAATTAATTTTTACGTGGTATGATTAATTTTTTACGTTTCTTTCATTGTTATTTTTCTTTTAAAAACACATTTTCAAACTGTGACATAAAATAAAGCCAAGTCATACTAAATAATCGCCCAACATTCGCTGACAGATAGTTAATTACAAAATGCTTCAGTCTGGCATAATTAAAAATATTCAAACCGAAATTATTCAGTCTACTAAATAAAATTTCACACATGTTTTCAACATACATTTTCATTAACAAGAGCTAAAAACACTAAAATGCCAGCACAAATGATTAGACAAATTATATATTGACAAATTATTTAAAATTTAAATAATTAACAAATAATTCACAATTAAATTTAAATAACTAGTAAATAATTAATAATCGGATTTAAATAATTGCAAATTTTTAATAATCATGTTGCAGAAAATGATACGAATGACATGAAATTTTATTGAACGTTTAGGGTTAACAAATAATACACGCGAAAGCTTTAACTTGAATTCTAGGTAAAGATACATCTAGGGAAATTCTATCTTTCGTCGAATTCTATCGTTCGCCTCTAAAAAAGACATGAACGCTTATTTCTAGTACAGAAAGCAGCCAAGCGTACGATATGTACAACTAAGCGAAATACAATCACGTCCAAAAGAAACAACAAAGAGAACATTTTCCGCAACACTTTTAACTGGAGAACGTGAGAGGGTATATACATACCATGGGTGGAAAGTTTCGAGATGGAGATGAAAAAAAAAAGAGTGAAAAATGCTCGAGCTTCCGAGGCACATCCATGACACAGTTTTACAGCTTTGATCGAGCAGTGGCGTTCGCTCGAAATATTTAAGCGCATACATAGTAAAGTACTTTTACGGGGATACATGTTACTTACAGAGATATGATGAGTGCGAAAGGAATGTTTGCGTGTACATATGTGCGCTACCTCGAAACGAGTGTAGCACGCGGAAAGCTCGCTGGCCTCTTCAAAACGGTTGCTCACACACGGCGAACTATGTTTTCGAAATTGAAACGAGAGCTACTCAGTAATACTCTATGCCGTATCATTACCGTAACATATTACGTTCTACTTGATCATGAAGCTACTTTTCCACTATTTATCACAACTACTAGGATTATCGATTTAGAACGTAGTTTCGACACTGCTGGTTTCAACTATCCCGATTACTTGTTAGCAAGCTGACGGCTACATAATTTGAATAACTGAATGTTTAATTATTCCATCATTGGAAAAATAAATCACAGATTCTTGCTCCATTTGATTTAAACTAGTTTAACGTGTCACCGAGCATTTTGAATTGCATCGTTTATTAATTTATGAATTAATCTCGACTTTTCTATTGACCATGCTAAATTTCGAAGTGTCAAATACATTTGATACATTCGCCGACGGTCTAAAATTTAATTTCATTCTATTAAGGAAATTCACGAATTTCCGCTTGATACTAAACGTACCGGTTTCTATACACCCATTCCCATAATATACACCAGTCATATAACTGGTTATAAAATAGAGGTGAACAAATGAAACGATAAATTTTTCTTAACGAAACCAGAAACGATAGGAGAGATAAAAACTACAAAAACCGAATCGAACAATATAAGAACTGATATAAAGTTAAATGGACGAAGAAAAACGTAGAATTTCTAATCAAATTTGAAAACCGGTCGTTCGACCGGTTGCGGTTTAGTGTTAATTTACTAAAATTCTTATGTAACAGTCTCCCCGTGATTCAGCGCAGTCCAAACGCAAACCACGTTTCACGTGTAGCACTCGCCGCCGTTAATTGTTCATTCTCGCGGGACGGTGACCCCGGGGGAACGTTGAATTCTCATAAGGATCTCTTTACTTTCGCGATTTTTCCAGAAAGCCCGGGCATAAATTACTTTCATACTAACATTACATCCCGCTGAACGCATGAAAGTTAGCCTTGCTTCGGCCGCTTTGCATCTGTGCTCCCGATAGATATTCGCCGGCTTTACGGCCACCTCTATTCCGCCTTCCGAGTGAGCCTCGCCGCCTCGGAACTCTAAATAATCTGAATAACCCAATTCGTTTTATCGGCAACGTGGAAAAAAGCCGGGTGCCACGAGCCCGTAATCGGCTATGCACGGAATAAAACGCAAATGAGATTCTTAAGCACGCTATCGACGTTTCCGCGTCCACGCCGGCCACCATTAACGGCGGCACGAAAATGGAATTGGCGGACATTGATGTATCTTAATAAGATACCAGCCGTTCATACGCGTAATTTCTTATCGATTAATAGTCATTCCGCGCTTGCACGTCGGCAGGACAACGACGATGCGCCATGTAAGGATGTCCCACACGGTTCCGAAACGATCTCCGCGCACCGCGGCCAACGGTATCGGCCGATCAAGGAAGTTCCGAGACGTTTCTTCGCAATTTACCGAGGCCTCGTAGCAGTTTTCTTTTGGTCCTTATCGAGACGCGTCTCACCGTGTCACGGTCGCCTTGACATCGGCCCGCTGCCGTTATCTGAAATATATCTCTCCGCTGCTACTTGACCTCCCCCGTATTTTCAGCTTTCCCGTTCGATCCGATACGAGATCTTCCACCCACAAGGATGGAAGGTGTCCAGGTTCGATTCTGCCTCGCGGTGACAATTTTTTGGTAATCAACCGCGATCGATGAACTCCTTGCTAACTCTGGATGGTTTTAGGGTATATTGCTTGTACCGTGAGCCTCTCACGTTAGCTCCATCGACCGTCAAGCTAAAAGTGCACAGGGGCAAGGGGACTCTTCCACTCACGATACTCGAGCCGCCTCGACTTTCGCTGCATGGTCATTATTGGCGTGCGGCAATGACGAAGGACGGAAGCTAGATCGAATGCGACGGAGTACGATGGAACTATAGAGAATTTTGTTTTCTATCGTTATGTCTTACTTCTTTGCAATTGGTCTCGGTTCCGGCCTTCGCCATTGCTACGCGCCAATAATGACCATGCGTTGAAAGCCGAGGCGACCCGAGCATCGTGACTGGAAGAGTCCTCTTGTCTCTGTGCACTTTTAGCTTGATACCCGATGGAGCTGACGTGAGATCTGTATAGTAGGTACTCCTAGCGAATACCTTTTCGCTGTATGTGTAACGATCTCTTAGCGTTTTAGTGTAGTTCGAACTGCAGAATCTACTGAATAGTATGATAAGATTGATTCTAACAAATAGAATCTTATCGTATTACTTGTTACCGATACAGTCGAATCTCGGTAAGCTGATTCACATGGGATGCAAAGGATGTTCCAATTCTGAAGGTTCTATTTTCTTGAATTTCCAAGTAAAGGAACTACAAACGAAACCTCGATGTATAAAAGTGCTGCGAGACGATTATAACATGCATATAGTAGTTTGAAACCTTTCAAAGTTATCCGAAATTCGATTCTGCGGAACGGAGTATGAAAGCGGGAGAATTGTACGGTACCTTGTGTTCCTACGAGTCTTGTCACCTTTCGGCTAGCGTTCTGCGATAAATACGTTCCACGTACCCGATTGCGCGTCGCGAAACTTTAACCCAGCCTGTCTTCTGCATCACCGGGGTTCTTTATGGTCGGCACTTTTCTACTCTGAAAGACCGAACTCGTTACGTGGGTACGTAACGAAACGCAGCCGCTCTTTCATCGCCGTCGACCACTATTTGTCAAGCTCTCCTCGCTGGATAGGCCATTAACGTTCCTCCGTTTTCTTTCGCAAGGCCCGCCTTTTGTTCTTATCTACTTGACTATAACAGCCGCGAATTCTAGTCGCAGTTAGCCGACCTAAATTATTAACTCGTATCGATCAGCGTGCGTTCCCCGCCGCGGCGATTCGATGCCTCAGCTTTTAAACTATGCACAATGTCACGTTTTCGCTTCCGTCAACAGCCACGTGCATCGCGCGACCGTTACTTACCTAAAGCGCTGCGCCGTTTCAAGGCGAACGGAACGAAGGTTTCCTCTTTCGATTCGATCTTTCCTTTTGTTTTTCGCTGATGCAAAGGCGCGCTCGTTCCTTTCAATAAATTACGTTTTCCATGGAGCGTTCGGTTTGCAGCACCTCCACGAACCTTCCGGCTGGTCGTTCTTTCCATTCGGAATCGAGTTCCGGCGAGTTGGGAAGTCAGTTTGTTTCCCTGTCGCGGCAACCGAACGTTTGCTTCGATTTTAGGCGATCGATACTTGTTGCAGGAACAATCCTCCTCCCTTTGTTTTTTAGAATAATAAAGTATCTTGTTCGGTACGTCAAGCTCGTTCTTGCACGACACGAAATCGAGTGGTTGGGAAATAATTTGAAAGCGGAATTTTTAACTGTGTCGAACACTTTGGTTACAGTTTCGTATTTATGTTATGTGCCTGTGAGTTGTGTTATTATATATTATGTATAATATAGAAACGGATTTATATGAAACTGGTCTACAAACGAAGATGAAACATACGGATACCTTCTTTACTTTTACGTGATCAGTTATATTGAATTTCTAAGATCGGTAAAGATGGTAAAGATACTAGATAGATACTAGAATACTAGAGATACTAGGAAATACTAGAGACGGATACTAAAGATATCTGCCTCATATCGATGAATTGGTAACACCTTGCAAATACTGTGTTCATAAATCTACCGTCATAAATGCAATCACGTTATAGATACGTTGATTAAATATATTCTCCAATGCGGAACGATTAACTTAAAAACATCTCAGTAGGTATTCATTTTAAACATTATTTTGTGTAACAGCTTTTTACGTAAAATTTGATGTTGCGCTCGAACTTAGGATGAAGTATTAGCCACTCCATTGAATAAAGTGAAGATGATCTTCATATCAGCATAAAAAAGCGAAAAAGAAATAGAATAACAATCAGATTACAGTGTAGTATTTCCTTCTGCAAACCAAGTAACTTTTATAAAAAAAATTTATTTATACGGTGAACAACATCCAAGTAATTTGAAGACGTCTCGCCCTGTACACCGATGGCCGGTACAGCATTACAAATTATAACACTATTTACATTGTGTCGTTCACACGCGACATCAATTTAAGCGATTCGAATTAAGTGATACCGAACAAAATTGACTTTCGTTTTCAGGAACGTCACTATTATTTTCTCAAGCTGTGCGAAATAAATATGTATTCCTAAAACTCATACCATCTTCACTTTCCAACGTTCCCTTTTCTTTTATACTGACAGACTCTACTCACGCGATTTTCATTCGGGCAAAACGAATCCACGCGGAACGGATACTCCACATAAATGGAAGGGCGGGTGTATTCGAAACAGTTCGTCCGCGAAAGAATGCGTGAAGCATTCTGAAACAAACATTGCGTAAAGCCGACCGTGAAATTGTTTTTCCACGCGTAAAGTCACCCTGACCTTTTCACCCGGGCACTGATCACGATCGTTTCCCTTCCTCTGTATCAGGTTCAACTACCGCTGACAGTAAGTCGTCGTTCACGGCCATTCTATGTTTCGACCAGCCGATCGACCCCCAAGTTTCAGGCAGCCCGCCAACGAGTGGATCTATAAGGTCAGTTCCAACGGTAAAAACGCGCGCGCTGGTGGCTAATGCGGAATTCCCCCCTGTCGGAGATCTTTGCCAAATGGGTCAACCGTGGAGAGAAGGGTGTACCGGCGGCCAACGCAGCAAACGATATTCACGACACTCGGGGAGCCATAAAAGTCTGAACCCGGCCTAGTACCGTAAT